GCGGGGAGGGAGAGAAAGAAAAAAAAAAGAGCGGGGGGGGGGGGGGGGGTGGAGACCAAAGCAAATCAGAGATAAACAACTGCATACACAGTTCCTGCTCTGATGCCAACTTAACAGTAGAACTGGTGCTATCGCCACCACCATGTCATCCTAGGGCACTGTTGAATATTTTAGTTCTCTCACAATCCAGTAAATCCCTTCCCTCCTGTTACTGTTGAATCCCTGTGAGCTACAGGACTTGAAGCTGTATGACCTAATCCTCACACCTATAGGTTGTGCACCTGTCTCATGTTACAACTAGCCTTTCATGTGATGTAATGTGGAGATGGGATTTACAAATCCATGCTGTGTAGTTTCTTTTTTATGGCTTTTTTTTCAGTTCATTAAGTACTGAATTGTCTCTCTTCAATTTTAAGTTAGTTCATTCATTTCTGAAGTTTTACTTCCAAATTAAACTAGTTGCTTGATTAGGACAAAGGGCATGATCTTCCCCTTCTTTACCATCCACTTTGATAAAATTGTGGTTCTGCACACCTCTAATCTGATCCCAAAAGCAGCCATGAGCGTGCTTCTTCAGTAGGAAATTGTCTCTGGAAGCCAAATTGTGGCTATGTTAATTCAAAGTTGGAGCCAGCATTTTCTGTTGCTTATTCATAGCAAAAGTTAGACTGCAAGGCATTGATGGCCTTCTCCACCTCCTGCTTCAGAAGGAGTGGTCTTGTCTTGCCCCAGTTATAGCTACGGAGTTGCTGCTCTTTATGGTTGTGGCTATGGAATCTGATTAGTAACTAAGATAGAAAAGAGACTAGGTATGTGCTGCTTGGGGAACAAGTTCTCGAGTTCCTGTTCTTGTGGAGAATGTAGTTCTTGCCTTGTATATCTTTCCTGTTGCCATTCAGCTTCCTCTTGTAAGGGTGTACCTAGGTGAGCTGAATAATTCAAGCTAAAAGCCATTCCAGTACTGCATTCATAGTAGTAGCCACCCCCCATGAAATAGTACTCATCTCTAGTGCCTGATGCTCAGCAAAGACATGTTTTGCTTAAAAGACAAGAGTTGACTTCATTTCTTTCTCCTGCAACCCCATAGTATCAAGCATAATCAGAAATAATGCACCAGTATCAAATTTGACTGATCAGAAGTCATTTTGAGACTTGGGTAAAATTGTATACCACAGTTGTGCTTAACTAATTGGACCCCACAGGCCAGATGAGTGGTGTGGGGCTAGTCCAAGAGCTGGATCTGGAGCATGGAGCTGTGGCATCTAGCCCCAGGCCAGGAATTTGGGAAGTGCAGCATGAACTGCTACTTCTCCTACCAGCAGTCCCATGGGCCTGGTGATACCAGTCCACTCTCAGGTCCAACCCAAGACCAGAAATTCAGTGGGAGATCAAGCAGCAGCATTAGTTTCTGTGGTTCCAAGAGCTACAGCAATTAAAGCTGCCCTCACTTGCTGCATTGTCAGTATTCTGAGCATATAGGGAGCCCTGTAGGCTATATCTGGCCTGTGGACCACATCTTGCTACCCACAGCTCACACCAGGTACTAAGGAGTCCACTACAAGGCCAGCTTGGCCCAAAAACAGCTTCTGTGCCCAAATGCTGGCAGAATACCAAAAAACATCCATTTGCATTGGCTCCAGCAAGGATCTCATTAACTTATATCCCCGACAAATTAGTTAAAAGCTATTAGAAACAAAGGGGTATGTGTGTGCGCGGGGGGGGCATACAATGATGGGAAAGCCCAAATGCTGCAGGTGGGGGGGGGGGGAAGAGGAGGGCACTGGTGGGAAAACCAGCAGTCACAGATGGATATGCAAGGAAAGTGGCACCATGGGTTGGGGTTTGTTTGTTTGTTTTTTTAAAGAGAAAAAACTTGCAATAATTCCACAAGCTGGGGGATGCTAGTGTTAAGAAGCATCTAGACCAAGATACAGTTAGCGTATTAACAAGTGCTTTCACAAAAAGCTGTTCATAGCCCTCCCCAAACCCGAGTTGCCATGAGATTGTAGGGAAGGTCCTTTCATAGATGAATAGCTGGTTAGGAGAAGGAAAATAAAAGAAAGATGGGATAACTGGTCATTTTTCCATGGGGGGGGGGGGGGAAAAGGGGGGGGGGGGGGAAAAAAAAAAAACAAACAAAAAAACAAACAAACAAACAAACAAACAAACAAACAAACAAACAAACAAACAAACAAACAAACAAACAAACAAACAAACAAACAAACAAACAAACAAACAAACAAACAAAAATAGGGTCCAGGATCTGGGATGAGCCCAGCTTTTACATTCTCCTCAAGTGATCTAGAAGAGAGAATACAGAGTGAAGTCTCAATAAAAGTTTGAAGAGAATACTAGTGAAGTATCCAGCTGAGGGTGAGAAGCTGCAGGAAAAGACAAAACAAAAACCAAAACAAAACCCTAGTACATGGGGAACAATAGCCTCAGCTATACATTCACAGTGCTGGACTCAAGGGGAAAAAAAAGTGATCTTGGAATCATTGCAGATGACTCTCTAAAGAAGTTGGATCAAGTGTGCAACAGCAGCCAGAACAGCAAATAAAAGTTCTCTCAGTTCCAGTTCCCTGACACCCAACTTTGTTATACTACTATGAGTCTAGAGTGTGCTTAAATCTTTAATATTGTGCAAATTTCTAGTCTCCACCTCTCAAAAAGATGTTATTGTACCACACAAAAAACACACACACACACACACACACACACACACACAGGAAACGGTATGTGGCCCAGTTGTTTCTAGCTGTATTGGGAGACCATTCCTAGGAACGGAGGGTAGTTGAATTTCTGAACTGCTGAATATGAAGGATATAGTTAACAATACACAAAAAACAGACAGGAGGGAATAATGCCACTTTTAATATCTGTTGCACTGTGAAGTGAAAACACTTCCCATTTTACAATTATATCCTTTAAACAGGAATAAAGGACAGTTTTTTCTACTTACTCTCTGCAGTAAGTAAGAGCTATTTTTATGATACAAACAGCTAAAATGTTTTGATCTGGGGGGGGGGGGGGGAGGGAAGAAACTTAACAAGATCATTCTGTACTGAACTTTAAACGCAAACCCTTTAGGTCCACATCTGCCATGATTACAAGTTAGTTTGCCTCTACCTGCAGCATTTCAAATAGGAAAACCCAAGCATGAGAAGTGCCTGCTAGTCTTTCCCTTGCATGTGGCACATGAAATACTCTCATCACCTCTGGCAGGCCCTACTTCAAAAGTATTAATCTATTAAATTGGTTCTATAAGCCAAATCTAGAAGATGTGTTCCATCTTCCAAAACCATCACATTACTTAACTTTTTTCCAGCATCCCACCCCTCCCAAAAAAGCAGCTTGCCATCTAGTGCTGTTGAATTAAATCAAACTTAACATCCACAGCAAATTATAAAAATCTCCTCCCTGCAGCTATGACAGACTGGCAAGTCACATTAAGTGTCAAATTGTAACTATTGCTAAATACTGAAGCTAGTCAAAGTAGATGCAAGAGTTGCTTGTGGTGTTTATTAGTGTTGAGTAGTGTGTCAAGAGTTACATGCTGCTTCCTATACAGAATCACTGAAGTTTGCAATGGTAAGAGCTTGAGGCCAATATTTTGAGGGTAGCAATTCCTTGGTTTCACCACTGTTTGCTTGCTCGCTCCTGTGCTTCAACTAGTGCACTGTTCTGTCATCAGTGCCAGGTGACAGAGGGCACACCTCAAAAAACATGTAGTTTGAGGCTTTTTGCTCACAGATAACAGGAGGGTCACAGGGAGGAATACAGGCAGGTTTCTGTATTAGCAATAAAGAATGGGCTTGGGGCCACCAGAAGTTATGCAAGAAGCTTTAGCTGTGTATACTAGACAGCCTTACAGAACCATAAAGAATGTTTTTAAAGTTCATTAAATAAAATCTCTTCTCCCCCTCCAAAAATCTGATCTGAAGCTGGGGAAGTACCTTATAACTTCTTATTAAATCTAGTTAAAGGTAGATGGATAAAATTGGATGCATAATCCATCTACAAAAAAAGGGGAGGGGGGGGACATTTGCTAGCAATTTTTAGTAACTTTTGAAATATTTTATACATTAGTGAATTTGCTAGTGCAGTGGATTTGCAGAGTTTAAGTGCCATGTGAACTATACTTTCAGCCATTCAGTATCTATCAGCTAGATGGCTTGGTAAGCAGACAAGAATAGAAGCAAACAAGCTACTTCCCCAGGAAGACAGAAGTTTAGCAGTTATCCAGTTACAAAAACTGATCTATACTCACCATTAAAGCAGACCAAATCATGCAAGTTAGATTCTGAAAGTCTTTAGCCAACACTTAGAGCAGAAGCCTTCATCCTTTGACATGCATAATTTTGAAGAGAACTAAACTTAAAGATGGCATGTACTAAAAAGTTAGTGCTTCAATACCCTCTGCAACTATTTGCTTTAGTGATCCCCTATATCCCCGTTAGCTAGTGATAGCCGCTTGTACAGCTAATTTAATTTTTTTTTTTTTTTTTTTTTTTAAATCCTCAGAGCTAGCCTACGAAGGCAGGCAGACCAACTGAGGAGTTAGTTTTTAGAAGGACGACCCTTACTTGAGAACTAGTAACTTTGGAACAGGCAAATCTTTTCATTTATCTGTTGTTTCTGCAATAAGCAGCAACTCTAGAAAAGCTTAAAATGTAATGCTATACTAGGACACTGTTGAATATTTAGTTCTTGCACAATACCTGTTGCTTTGAGTAAGCCCAGACCTTAAAAACTGACCTCAGAGACATCTCCCTGTAGGTATCCAAAGAAGCATGGCTGCCTACAAAATTTAAATTCTTTAGGACTTTCCGGAAGCTCAGCTGCTGTTAGGAAATAGTTGGCTTTGTTAGCATGAACACCCACAAGACAAGTAGTACTTCCATGGGCAATAGGCCTCATTTTCAAGACAACGCTACATCGTTTTTAACATTTGCCACTTCACAAGTTAAACATCATCCTGCCTTGACATTTAAGGAGTGCTTTGCAATACCTTTATTTGCAGGTTTTTCTAGCTACACCTCACCATTTCATATATTCCTTCAAAAACAAAACAAACAAACAAAAACCACAAACAGTCTTGGCTCTATTTGCAAATTTAGATCAGAAGCCTTTAAACAAAAATCTCTCTCTCAAATAATGTATTTGAAACTGAATGTACTATCACAGGAGAGGCGTTTGCCTTTGCATCTCCCACAGAGATCTTGACGATGGGGCCTTTTAGGGTCCACATGGCGCATTTTCACAGGGCAGGTGCATCTGGTCTGTTTGCAGCTCTGGAAAGGAGCAAGGGTGTTTTAATAGGGGCTACAGACCACAGTAAAAAAAAACAAAACAAAAAAAAAAAAACAACCCAGCATGTTAGGGTGGGAGAGCGCGAGTGGGCCAAAAGCTTGTGGGCAGCAACTAAGCTGGAATCTCCATTCCTCGTATCTGATGCCCATGCATCTTTATGGGTCAGCTGCTGCAGTGGTACCAGCTGTTTCTTTGTTTGACAGTTGTGAACACTAGTTCTATATGGATAAGGAAAACCTTAACTCTCTCAACTCAGGTAGATAAGGGTGGAAAGAACATGGAGGTCATCTTGTCCAACCCCTGCTCTGGGAGGACTATTGTTGGTCTAACCTAGTGGTTCTCAGCCTTTTATGGAGGGATGCCTTGAGTCCAACTCATGCGACTTGAACAGCACCATATCAAGGTGGGAACTAATCAATCACAGGACTTGCTTCCCACGGAGGGGCAGGCAGTGGCCAACTAAACCTGCCCTTAGTGACTCAGCTCCTTACACCTGGCTTGTCTTTTCACACACCTCTGGCAGGGCCCTTCAAGAGGGCATCACAGCACCTCAGGGCACCCTAGCAACTGGCTGCTTAATCCCCCACTTCAGCTTCCAGCAGCAGCTTCTTCTACTGCAGCCCCAAGCCCAGGGAGGTCAGCTTCATCCCCTTCCCCTGGGTGATGCTGGGCACTAGCTCCTCTCCCTCACTGCCCTGCTCAGGGCAGGGCAGGGCACTCACCTGGCAGGTGATGTCCTCCACACGGTAAGGGTTGTACGACTTCTGGCATGTGCGGCAGAACTGCCTGAAGTACACCTGGGCGAGGGGGAGGCAAGCAGGCAGGTCGGCGCGGGGCCAGGCAGGGCAGTGGGGGGCTGCAAGCTAGCCAGGCCAGGGGCAGCTCCTACCTTGCTGGTGCCCTGCACACACCACACGTAGGCGCTCTCCCAGCGAATGTTGCAGTCCCAGCAGTGGTAGTAGCCGTACTTCTGCTCCAGGAACTGCGGGGACACGCGTTACAGCCCCGGCCCTGGCCTCGGCCCCGGCCCCAGCCCCAGCCCCATCGTCGCTGCCTCACCTGGAAGCGCAGCCGCGCCTTGCCCTGCGCGGGCTCCTGGACGGCGGCCGCGGGGGGCTCCTGCCCCCGC